AATTTTCGCATTTTATTACCTTTTATATGTATATGCATATAGTATTAGTTGCTACTGCTGATAAAATCTTACAACCAACGTATATTACCGTTCGTCACCTTTTATGACATTCACGGGAAGTGACGTGCTAATTCAGTCTGCATACTATACAGTGGTGGAATAACTCAACATTTATCATAACTTTCAAAGCTTCCACTGGCTTGTTCAGCCTCAAATGATAAAACAAATTATTTATTTGTGGTGTTTAACTAATTTAACTAGTCAAAACTTGCATCAACACGACCGCTGAAAGAATCATAAATATCGACATCAAAGAAGTCAATCTCGGTATTTGGAAGCCCGACAAACGGAAATCTTGAAGATTGAAATTTAGAGAAGACGCTAAAAGCTGCTGATTTAATTCTGACTTTTAGTTACACTTGTTATTGTAGAAGATATAAAAACATATGCTACATATTCAAGATCTAGAAAAGATTCTGCACACACACTTTTTATAAAAATCGTGACCATAGAAGACCTAATGTGTCAGGAAGATTATATTTACCAAATACGACGCAATTAATATGTGACTAATTGAACGTAAAAAGGGACGTTATATTTAGCTGTTTCATTACCTGTCTTTATATATCTATGTATATAAGTGGTATACGTTACTTTACTCGAGCATGAGGTATATAAATATTTTTGCATCATTTCGGAACGCGTGACCTAGCAGCGCGATGTGTGTAGTTGTATCTATATCGTTCACGGTATCGATGTTCGTACTCGTTTGACTAAGTCAGGATGAAAATATATATGACGAGGAACGTTTTTATATATTTAAACAGCTATTACAAATAACAATTAAGGTTGTCAACCAATGTCATTTAGCTCCATTTTACCATCAAATGCATTGTGATAAGCATCAATTACAACAATATAAAGTAACACGTGAAAGAGTTATTATTGAGCTGCAGACCATCGGTTCTATTTCACAGAAACGGTGCTTTTCAAAGGCAAATCTATGAATTATTTTATATATCCTGACCTGACCTTTCAACCAAAAAAGAAATAAATTGCCATTTTCGAGAAACTGAACTGAGAGCCTAGTTTGAAGTCAGTTATACTAGTATATAGAATATTGTTAGATGTCGTTGTCTCTATTAGTACATCATGATTTTTTAAGATTCCGTCTAAACACTAACTAGTACCTATTTAATATTTTGTAAGAGGAATCGGAAAGATATTATAAATATTCTAGAAATAATAGATATTAGAAATACTCGTAACACTTGCGAGAATTACGAGCCTAAATATGGACGACAGAATAGATGTAAAATGTATCAAAAATTCTAATTTTACTATTAAAATACCCAACAGTGCCAGGAACCACTGGCCTTGATCTAAAGAAGTGACCTTACTAATAAAAGTTATGAAGGTACCGGATGAGGAAGAATAGCGTCATCAGCATTCAAAATTATTATGGACCCTAAGTGCGTATTGATAATATATATAACATGGAAAAGGCTACCCGTATATTTTTTAAATTATGTAATTTATTTAGAAAAGCTTTATACTTATTATTGATTTAGTCATTTCTGTTTGCCTTTGTACCATAATTTGAGATCATTGTTTTATTAATAGTTTTTAGGGTAAAGACTTAATTTTATTTTTTAAATTTACTCAGAAACTTTTGGTCAACACGCGGCCGCACTGCCAGAATAAGCCACTACAATATATACCGCGCATGCCACTCCCGTCAATGTAGGAATAAGCCTTTTATGCCCTACATATATACACTAATATTATACACAGACGAGTTCAAGAACACAGACCCAAAATGTAAAAGGGTTAGCAATAAAAAATTATAGGCAGTACTTACATTTTTATTAGTAGACCGTGTGTATCCGTTCAGCCTTTTTCTTGCATCTCTGCAGGAACGAAGCGAAGGATTGACAGGCTCACGGCTAAAGGAAAAAAATCATATTAATTTTCATATCAGGTCAAGAAGGAAATATGTGACTAAATGTGCTGACGAAGCGAATATTTAACGATCGATCAGCGATGTCGCTCGTCAAAGTCTATCGAAGTCAAGTACATGGTTACAAAATACTCAGTTCTCTGTGATATAATGAAGTTTAAAGGGTTTTATCATTTTTATGCTTTTTAGTGCATTCATTTTGCGTTATTATCACAGATCGAAACTATACTTATGGTAATTATTAAAAGTGCCTTAATATTGTTTGTTATTCCGCAAGGAGCGACATAACAAACAATATGAGTAAAATATTATTACGCAAAAAGTTTTTGATAATTCTAAACATGCAATAAAAATTATATAATTTACAAGAAAGTAGAATGTTGACCTTTGACCAAGGGCTTCCCTATGACTGTACAATATTTATGAAGTTTCTACTTTAGGTAGTACGGCATTAATAGCTACATTATTATCACACGCAGGAAATGTGGTTCATTTGTATCATTTCATGTCTACCGGTACACGGTAATAATAACAAAATGAAATAGGAAAATATGGTATTCACCTAAAAATTTACTAACTTATTTTTTTTCTTTCAAAAAATATTACCATGCAGATTTTTTTCGTAATGGAAACTGCCACGGTGGTATGTCGGACTCAAACCCTAAGAACAAGAAAGTCACCAAGAAGGGGAAGTCAATGGGGCACAAACGTAGGCTGCCTGATAACCACCGCACCGCGGAGTACGGGCAGCCTAAACTCCGAAACGGTCACGAACACTTCCTGCCTCAGGCCTGTTTCTGTAACATCAGCACGGTCAGCTTCGGAAATAATCGATTCCCGAATCTGCGCTCATGGTGGTCGGAAATCTTTCCGCGCTCTCCGGCCCCTGGCCCTGGTGCGTCTACTGCGGGAGGAGAGAGTGATTGTCTCCTCCAGGTCCTGTTCAGCCGCCCCTTTCCGGAAAACGAGATGACGGATGCATTCTTACTTTGGACCTGAGGCATGGTTTCAAGGGAGAGGCTACCCTCGCCAAAAGCCGTCTTAAGGTCGTATTGCTGTTGCGTCCACGCCGAGGACTACACTAGAATATTGAGTGCAGTGTCTTCGCAACAGCCTCCGCAGTGGATGTACTCAGACGTTGACTCCCGGTATGTACATGACAGGCACTTACCTAAGCAGTCTTGTCCAGTCAACACCTGTGTCAACCGGTAGTTTTTTTCACAAAAAAAAAATTGATCTCATGAATACCTGATTAGATCTATATTATCAAGAACGACGATACGGGAAAAAGCTATTACACCTATATATGTATATATGAAAATCAAAGCCTTATCTACAAAATTTGCTCTGCATTCTTGCAGTATTACAGGAGACCAGAGGCTGAGCGGGTTTACAGCATGCTCCCAAGAAATCACGTGTGAGTTGACTTATTTTACACTAATTCTATACGATTCATTCAAATATTAAAAAAGACTACAAAATACATTACCATTAAAGTTGGAGTACTTAGGGTAAACATGCAAGTTAGGATTTCATGCTCTTGACCTTAATTTGGTTTTGTCTAACTAGTAAAAATGCAAAACTGCATTAAAATTAGCAATTCAATACATTCCATAAAAATATTATTGTTTGACAGGAGATATCTTAAAGATCCCCAATAGAGGACTGGCTTTGGAATAACTAGAAAAAAAAGTTCCTCATTGTATGGTGCTCATAAGATAAATTGGTGAAAGTACTGGTGCTAAATAAAAGCTCTGTTGCTTAAAATCGAGATCTGCCAAGTTTTATGTAATAATTAGAATCTCATTAACAGATATTTGTTTTTTCGAGACATGCAATGTTGGATTCGCAATTTTCTTCACGTGCAACATGGTACTACGTATTCGGCCACATGTAGCATGCAAACGGCAACTGGTTCTAGTCTCATGAGATAATATGACAGATACACGTGTAATGTTCAATTAAAATTAATTTATTGTATAGGTTTATTTTCTAAGGTTTTAATTTTTATTTATAGTTGTTTCATTTTCTAAAGTAATTGAGAAAAGTATTAAAAAACAAACTCAATGTGAGCGCCCATCCATTCATTGTTTTAATAAAGTCTAATTAGGTTATCGATGATGAAAACAATAACTCACACCGAATACTTTTTACGCGCCTGTGTGTTTTTAGGCCTATTGACGCTTCAGCCAGAGGTCGTGAGTTTGATTCCCAGCTACGAGAAATAATTGGCTATGAGCACCATATGTTGTTGTGTGTTTATCTGTGTATTTAAAAGTGTTTAGTAATTTGTAAATATTATATATATATGTTTAACAGCAACCTGCGTTGCCGGATCTGCGTAGTTTGGTATTAGACTCAAGAAGTGCTTGAAATTTTCGTTACTATTATATTATTGTAATTGTAAAAAAGTTTCATTTGACACAGTTTTCATGTATCAGTCATTTTTACAATCGACTGCCCGTGTAAATAACAAATAAAACAAATAAGTGTAGAATTACGTTCAATGTCCTCTTAATGTCACAATTGGAATTCTTTATATGGTAACCATAGGTAAATATGTAATAAATCAAAACTACATTAAAATAAATTTTCAAAAAAGCCTGTATACGATTCTGCCAAATAACCATAATAAATTCATAAGTATTACTGGAAAGTAGCCCTTCGTTAAAAATTATAACGTTAAAATACAAGCTCAAAACTTACGAAGCAAGGAAAACGCACAAACCTTTTATACACCATTGAATAAACACAAAAATTTACATTTTCCAAACTGCTTTAGAGTAATCTAACATCTTGCCAAAGCAAATGCCGGTATATATTTATCTGGTATACGGTTAACATTTAAATATTTTGAAAGAACCTGGACCTGGAATTATTTCTGCAGAACTGCCCTCTGCAGCATTTCCACCAGGATCATCAGTATTAAAAATCCTCTGTAGTAAGTCACTTTCCACTATCTTGCACATAAACGGTCACAATCCACTGATAGATAGAAGAACCACTACAGTCTGAAAAATAGAAAGATCACGTCACAAGTTCATACGAGACGTGCCATGCGTACCAGGGTAGCAGATAAACATAGGAGGTGTCGGCTACTCGGAACAATAGCAACGCGGCGTGGAATGGCGCAAGACGACACAGCAGCGAGCGCACGGCGCGCCGGCAGAGCGGTGACTGACCGACACACTGCCGCACCACCCCGCCTGGATCGTTCCTCCGGGACCCTTCCGCCGGGAATCAGACCCGCAACACTCGAACCACCGATGTTCTGTTCACGCGACCCTCGCGCACATGTGCGAACATCACTGTCTTTGTACTTCATTGTCTCAACAGGTTTATACAATATTATTGTCTGGATCAAACTTTAGCACCAACCTTCCCAAACCATAATTTTGGCTCCCCACGATTTGACATTGTGATTAAAATTCTCTGCATGTAAACTGCAGTTTGAGTGTATTAAAGTATGCGGATGTTTAATACTTTCATCTGCCCGAATATTACGTAGAGAAGGAGGTCATTGACATTTGTTCATTTGTTTTTCATATTCATATATCAAGCAAATCATAGAGTAAGTAAGTTTGTTTGTATACATTATTGATATACATTATATAAACAACTTTATCTTTAAGACCTCCCTCGATATAGTAACAGGATAGGATTATAAAAGTGCAGTAGTTAATGATGACATAATGTTAAACGCTTCAAGCGCGTAGTGTCAAATTTCGCTCGTTATGCGAAACAGTGACGTGAGTGTTACAGCAAGTGTAAGTACTATAATGATCTCCAATGGTCTGGGTAGAGAGTGAAAGTGGTCGTGGTCTAGGCGAGCGCACCTCGCGGGCCATTACAACGGCGCGCCCTGAGAGACCTTGACAAACTGTTTTGCTAGTAAACGAATATAGTAACTACAGTTTGAAATTTAATTTTTATCGTTTGTCAGAATTAACCCACAGTAAGTGTCAACGAATTTACAATAACTTCCTTGATTCATTGACCTCTTACGGGTCCACATACTTTCATAAATGAAGATTAGTTCCAAAATATTTGACATGCCGTATTGGTTAGAAATTACTCAAGGAAAATATGTAGTTAATAATATTATAACCAATTACATCTAACAATTTTACATACCTACGTATAATATACAATAATAATTACAGTATTTCTTGCATCAGTTGTAAGTACGAAAATTTGTAAAGGCACGAACGAGTATATTCCAATTTGTTTGTAAATCTCATTTGCACCTTCGTGTCTGGACAATGACATTAGTACTCGTAAAATTTGGTATCTGTGAAAATACATGATTGATACTTCCTATAATTATTTTAGAACAGAGATCGGCTTATCGTCCATTTTGTTTTTCCCTATAAATTACATTGTCGGGGTACGTAAAAAGCGTGTAGTACTCACGGTGCCGTGGGCAACAAACATCCCTAAAGACCACGCTTTAAAAAGAAACAAGTAATTTGACTTAACCAACTAAATAAGTAAAAATAGTTATTTCGTTACGCTGTATGCCGTGGAAGTGGGTGTGAGGAATATACCAGCTAAATCGTTCTATAACCTGCCTAAAGACCCTGGATTGCCAAGAACTTCAGTAAGCTCTTTTATTGAACGAATATCTAAAGCGGCAGATAGAGAGGGTAACACAGCAGACAGTGGAGGTGAGCGCTAACGCGTCGCAAGGAGTAGTAAATTCAAAATAGCTTTTTTAAATGCTATAAGGAGGCAAATGAAGAGGCGAGTTAACTTATGGGAAGTGACTACTGCCGCTCTTCAACGAGAGTCACTCGAGAGTCACAAGTGAATCAGTTTGAGCTCCGATAACCTCACTCACTCAGTAAAAAGTAACGAAAGAACTGCTTAGCACCGGTTCTGGATGGGGCCGTGGTATCACTCCGGCCGAGCCCGTGACGGCCGGATGGCGTAGTGGTTTGTGTAACGGACTGCTATTCCAAAGGTCGCGGGTTCGATTCCCGCTCATGTCAAATATTTGTGTGCATGAACATTTAATGTTTGATTTGGTCTGAGTGTATGTATGTATAAAAATAAGTATGTATGTATTTCTATCAGTTGTCTAGTACCCATAGTACAAGCTCTGATTAATTTGGGACTAGATGGCGTTGTGTGAATGTGGCAGAATATTATTATATTATTATTATAATATTATTTGTGCCGAAACGTGGCTCTCCCACGGTAAAGTTCTCATTACCTGACAAGGATCATTATTTAGAAACGACAATCTGTCAACAGTTCTCCTAAGGCTCCTAAGCATTATTGTAAGTACAAGTGCAATTACAGCAAATTGTTACTAAAATAATTAACCGTTATGTTAGTGTCAGTTCCGTAACTTGCAGTAGCACTTTCCGGGGACCGGTCAGTTACCCTGATTATAATCATACGTGAACAAACACTTGACACACAAAGTAGAAGTACTTATTCTTGTCTTTATTAAAAAAATATGTATACTTTATTTCTGTCATATAAGTAGACCACAATCTCAGTCTTATTGTTTTACGAGTAGTTTTTGTTCAGACTTGTTAGAAATTTACAATTACTTTAATAAATTAAATTATAATATCTATTATTAAAATTCACGAAATTTATTTTACCGAAAGTCATAAATGCGATGTGTTTGTTTTCTGATTTTTATTCGTTCGAAGAATCAAATACTCGATGGGTTCAATCCGACAAACGACATTCCGATTTTCAGTTCTTCGAATAAACTGCTAAAATTAAGATTCTGATTCTGATTCAGTTAGTATAATATTCAGGTACGCATATATATTCAAAAGCTATAACTAACGTTTGATGTAATTTAAAAACGTCTCCTTTTTATTAGTATTTGTGTATTAATAAAAAAAATGTGTTTTCCTCCTCTATTAATTGAATTCTTTGGGTTAGGTTATATAAAACTGTGACTATTAAGTGAGTGCCCCTCTGTTGTTCGTGAATCATTTGGGTAAAGTTAGGATAGGACTGTGACCAGCGACACGTCCTTGTGCTGGGGGACTTCAACGCAAAGTCCATTGCGTGGGGTTCCCCCAGGACGGACGCAAGGGGCGAGGCCGTAGAGGAGTGGGCGGCCTCGGTGGGCCTCTGTCTTCTCAACAGAGGCTCCACCAACACGTGCGTGCGACAGCAGGGGGGGTCGATAGTGGACCTCTCGTTCGCTACCCCTGCCCTCGCCGCACGAGTAAGGAACTGGCGTGTCCTGGAAGAGGTTGAGACGCTCTCGGATCACCTGTATATCCGATTTGAGCTCTCCCGGACCCAGGACTCCAGTAGGGGTCACGTGGCGCGGCGTTTATCCCGCTTTCCGCGGTGGGCTGTTGCCAGGCTGAACCGGGACCTACTAGAGGAGGCAGCCATAATTCACTCGTGGCTGTCTCCGCAGGCTCCGACCGAGGAGGTTGACGTGGGGGCTGGTCGCTTTCGCGATGCGATTACGCATATCTGCGATGCGGCCATGACCCGCATTCGAGGTCGTCGGCCTCCAAGGAAGGAGGTCTACTGGTGGTCCCAGGAGCTGGCGGACCTCCATGCGGCCTGTACACGTGCCCGGAGGTCCTACACACGCAGTCGGCGGCGTCACCGTGGAGACGGTGAGGAGGACCGGCTTCATGAGGAGTACCGACGGGCGCGGAAAACTCTGAAGCTGGCCATTAGCCGCGCCAAAGAGGAAAAGAGACAGGAGATGCTGGAGGGTCTTAATCGTGACCCCTGGGGTCGCCCTTACCGCGCGGTGCGACAAAAGCTCCGCGCGTCGGGCCCCCCCCTTACGGAGACTCTCCAGCCCAGCTTCCTGCGAGAAGTGGTTGAGGGCCTTTTCCCACAACGAGCGGAACACACTCCCCCGTCGATGGCCTCCCTGGCCGGAGACGACGGGGAGCACGGGGAGGACAATGTTCCGCCCGTCCGGGATTCGGAGGTAGGGGCGGCTGTTCTACGGATCCGTTCCAATAACACCGCCCCTGGGCCAGACGGGGTACCGGCCCGAGTGCTGGCCCTGGCCCTCAACCACATGGCAGACCGCCTCGGGGAGGTGTTCGACGCTAGCTTGGCGTCGGGACGCTTCCCTGAGTGCTGGAAGAGCGGGAAGCTGGTCCTATTGAGGAAGCCGGGACGGCCTGCCGATTCGGTCGCGGCCTATAGGCCCATCGTGCTGCTGGATGAGGCGGGCAAATTGTTTGAGAGGGTTCTTTCTGCCCGCATCGTCCGGCACCTCTGCGAGGTGGGCCCCGATCTGTCGGACGCCCAATTTGGTTTTCGGGCGGGGCGTTCGACAGTCGACGCCGTGTTGCGCCTGAGGGCCGTGACCGAAGAGGCCGTGAGCTGTGGCGGCGTGCTGTTGGCGGTGTCATTAGACATCGCCAACGCATTCAATAGTCTGCCATTCAGCTGCATCAGGGAAGCACTCCACTATCATGGGGTGCCAAAGTACCTGAGGCGGCTAGTGGCAGACTACTTAGAGGAGCGTACCGTCGTGTACGAGGACCGAGAAGGTAATTTGAGGAGTCGGCCCATGTCGTGCGGTGTTCCACAGGGGTCTGTTCTTGGACCCCTCTTGTGGAACATAGGGTACGACTGGGCCCTTCGCGCCGATTTCCCCCCCGGGCTGGGTGTAATCTGTTACGCAGACGATACCCTGGTGACAGCCCGGGGGGCAAACTTCCAAGAGGCGGCGCGCCTGGCCACAGGGGGAGTCTCCCTGGTGGTCGGGCGCATTGAGGCGCTGGGCTTACGGGTGGCCCTAGATAAGACGGAGGCCCTGTTATTTCATGGGCCCCGTCGTGGTCCACCCCCTGGCGCCTCAATCGTGGTCAACTCGGTCCTCGTACCGGTTCGGGCCCAGATGAAATATCTGGGCCTGATCCTCGACGGGAGGTGGCTCTTCGACGAGCACTTCCGACAGCTTGCTCCAAAGCTGGTCGGCGCTGCGTCTGCCCTAGGGCGACTCTTGCCCAATATGGGTGGACCCAGCGTCGCGACAAGACGGCTGTACACGGGGGTTGTCCGGTCAATGGCGCTGTACGGTGCACCGGTGTGGGCGGCGGCTCTGGCCGCCCAGAATAGGGTACGCCTCTGGCGCCCTCAGAGGGTAATGGCGGTCAGAGCCATACGCGGTTACCGCACCGTTTCTACGGAGGTGGCATGCGCGTTGGCCGGAACTCCTCCGTGGGATTTGGAGGCGGAAGTGCTCGCCGAAGTTTATCGGCGAGTGGCTGACTCCCGGGCGGAGAGCGGATTTCGCCCTCCGCCCGAGGATGTGCGCGAGTGGCGCGAAGCCGCTCGCCGAGCCACGATGGCTCGTTGGTCGTT